TGGATGTGCCTGAAATCTGGGAGAGAGGAAAAACCCGAGTGGGGTGAATTATTTTTTGAGTGCTTTACCTGAAACAGAATGCTTTCCTTTAGCCATAAGCAACTTGCTGTGTAATTTTTGCTCAGCTCGTGGTGGCTGTGACGGAGAGGGGGGTGTGATGGCCCTGGGGCTGAGACAATAGATTCACATCTGGTAGATGGAGCTTAGAGACGAGGATGCTTTGTTCTGCCTGCCTGACCATTACAGCACTGCCCTGGCGCTCCCAGCTTAATTTCCCCTGGGGAAAACAGGGGTAATAGGGATGACCCGAGCCATTCAGAGCTGACCAGGTGTGCTCAGAGCCCTGCCCTCGCTCAGGCTGGCTGCCCACTCCCATGTAGCCGTGGGTCCGCACCCAAACGCCAGAATATCAGGTTGAGCAGGACTGGGATCTAAACAGGGTTAGCTCCCAGCTCTGGGAGGCAGGTGAGGTTTTGCAAGCCTCAGTTAACGCCTGCTCCTGGCCCCTGTGATCCCGGGAGCAGTTCAGCAGCAGTGAATCATTTGTTTTGGTTTCTCCCCACCAGGGGCTTGGCTGCAGCGCCTCTCGCAGCAGCAGTGGGCGTGGGAGAGATGCTCGTGGGCTGCAGCCACTCCCGTGGCCGTGAGAACCCGGGTCCCACGGGTCCCCAGCCCCGCTGGAGCTGCTCCTCCTGTTTGCTGCCAGTGGGATTTTGTGTGGGTCAAATCTCCTGTGTCCTCATCAGCCGGGGATGCAGCAGGGGCATCCATGGATTAGCTGAGCAGAGGTTGCCAGGGATGAAGGCTCAAGAGGGAGCTCAGCTTGGTCCCTTGCTGGAATGTACAGTTCAAGGGTGTCCCTCAGGACACTCCATCCTCTGCCTCATCCTCATCACCTCCCCATCCCTTGTCTGCTGCAAATTCGACATACTTCTTACATCTGCTTCTCACTCTCCTCCTCTGTGCCATGCCACTGGACAGACAGGGAACAATCCTCCTGACAGCTCATCTGGGATGCTCATCTGTGATGTGCCAGGTCCAGTATTAGAAACATTGATTTTAACTGGAGTTTGGAAAATAACTGTTTAAGTCCTCTTCCTTCAGCAGGTTTTGTGAGCTCATGGCTCTCTGCCTAGATAACAGCTTTTATGAGGAAGCTTTGGGATTTTCAGACTCATTCCTTTCCCCCTTTCTTCCTATTTTGCTCCAGAAAAGGGGTGTTGGGTAGGAGAGGAAACATTCTGAAGCTGAGGCAAGAGAAGGTTTTCCCCAGGTTTTCTCAGGTTTTCCCCATCTGGGTGCTTTGCATGGCCACAAAGAGGGAGCTGGGCAGGAAAACCAGCAGGAAAGGCTTCGTGCCAGCCATGGTCACACTGCTGCTCCAGCTCCCACCAGGACCAAGTGTTCCCATGCCACTAAAGAAGCGAGTGCCCATGCTATCCCAGCATCTTACCACTGATTACGATAACTGAGCTGAAACCCTTGAGTTTAGGTAGAATATTCCCTCATTTTGTAAAAGTTTTCCTGCTGACAGCTTTGGGTGAGCTGATTTTCTGTGCTTAGGAGAAGGGCATGAACTCAGCATTGCTTATGCAATGGGGAGAGTGAGACTTATTAGCATCCCAGGGTTTTATACCTCTGGTGCTTTATGAGAAATGACATTTCTGGGAAAGATTTTGCCGCCAGTTACTGTGGAAGCTCGACGTTCTTGAGCAAGCTGCTGGCCGCGTGTCTGGAGACATGAGAGTTAATTTTAAAACATCCGGCATCCGTGTCGGCAGGGAGGAAGGTTCCCTTCACTTCCTAAGCACCAGCAAAACCTAAGCTTCTAAACCCTAATCCCTCTCTAAGCTGGAGCTGCCAGGCCAGGGCCAAGGGCAGAGAAAAGCCCCTGCCGTGTAACCAGGCCAGCTGCCCAGCTCTTTGGCGAACCTGAGCAGGATGGGGAGCCCTAAGCTCCAGGATGGGGACGGAGCCCACTCCATCCCTCCAGAAGCCGACCCGTGGGTCAGGCACCTCCTGCTTTTTGAGCCATTTTTTGGTCACACTTGGCCGTGCCGCCCTCCAAGACCGTGCTGCCTCTCGCCCAGAGGGAATGAGTGCTCCGCAGGTCCCCGCTGCTCCCGGCTCAGCAGGCAGCGGCTGACAGGCGGCAGGCAGGGGTGGCCCGGCTGCGGGAGAGCTCTCGGCTCAGCCCTGCAATGCCAGGCAGCCCGGGAACCATCCACGACCCAAAACCACACGGCAGCGCGTTCTCCTCCCGGAGCAGCGCGGCTCGGGGCTGTCCCACGCGGGAGGGTCTCCGCGCCCGGAGCCTGCCCGCTCTCCGCTCTCCGCTCTCCGCTCTCCGCTCTCCCTGCCGGTGCCGGGGCGCAGCGCCCGCTCCCTCCGCGCCGCTCCGCGCCCGCGGGGCTGACGTCACCCTGCCCTGCGCCGCCCGCGCTGATTGGCTGCGGGTGACGTCAACGCTGTCGCTTTTTTTTTTCCACTTTATTTTTTTTTATTTTTTTTTTCCCTTTCCCCCCTCCCCCCCCCCGCTCGCTCCCGAGGCATGACCTCATCGCCGGCGCATTCCCGGCGGCGCGCGGAGCGGCGCGGAGCGGCGCGGAGCAGCGCGGCGCGGGGCGCGCGTGTGGGGAGCGGAGCCGGCATCGCGCCGTGAGGGGCGGCCAGCGCGGCAGCATGTGCCGGTATATGTGCGAGTGTGTGTGCGTGTGTGTGCGGATAGGAACAGCGCTTCGCGGCTCTGAGGGGCCGGCGCGGCCCCGGCGCTGGGGAGAACGATGTGTGTGCAGCGCCGGGGCCGGGAAGGGAGCAGCCCCACGGCGGGGATTGGGGAGAGAAGCGGGGGTTCGGGGGAGGGGGGGGGGCTGGCGCTCCGCGGCCGCGCATGCCGGGGATGCTGCGCTTGTTTTCGGGGCGGGGGGGCGGTGGAAATCCCACCGTGCCTCGGCGGTGAGCGCTCGCCGGTGCAGGTGAGGAGGGGGCTCGGGAAGCTCCGGGAATAGCCGCTGTCCTGGCGGGCCGGGGGGCACGGGTGGAGGGGTTTTCTGGCGGGGCTGAGGGCTGGTGCTTGAGGAAGCGGTGTTAACAGCGCTGTGGTTTTTCTGATGATGAAAGAGGTTGGAGTGTCGCCCTGTGTCCTTGGCGTTTAAACGAAGCCGGCATGTGTTCAGCAGCGGGGGTTTTCATGCAAGACTTCATTGCTGCGGCTCCAAAGGCGCTGCTCGCGATTAATGAGTTAAGCTGCTCGTTTATAAAAATCCTCTCCACCTCCCCTAATGTGCCTGGACCGATTGATCACCCCCCACACACCCTCAGTCATTATGTAGTGGTAAATGTTGCTTTCTGTGCTGAGCGTTGTTTGTTTTTAAAGATTCCTGTTTATTTCCCTTATTGATAAATAAGTTCCTTCTCCTTCCTGCTCCCCCCTCCCTTTTCTCCTCCCCCAGAATTAAATTCCTGAGCAACAGCAAAAGCTGATGTCAGTGCTTCAGCTTGCATTGGGGGAGCTCTGTGCACAGGTCAGTAATTTGCGGTTTCGTTGGAAGGAAGGACGCGGTGCAGTGCTGTTCTCATAGGGATATTTGGATTTTTCTAGGCATGGATGCGTTTATCCCTCATATTGCGGTAGTTATCGACAGCTCCCTGGTGGGAGCTGGGTGCTGCATGTAGGAGAGACCATCCCTGTCCCAAGCAGCTGGCGATGACGAATGCATTGGGAATGGTTGCCAGAGGTTCCATCTCCCTGTGATTTGGGGGAATAAGGCAGACCCCTCTCCCACAGGAAGGAGTGAGGATACCCGAGCAGGTAGCGCTGAGGATTGCACCTGGCAGCGCAGGGGCCATGATAACCTTGAGAGCAGCTCGCCCGTGGAGCGGTGTGTGACATTGGCTGGCATTGTCTCATCCTCCTGCGCTGAGGAAAGGCTCGGGGCTCGCTGCCTGCGCGCCCAAAGGCGGCCGTGGAGAGCTTTGTTTTCGGGAGGACTCCATGCACGGGAGTCGGTGCTCTTGGGTTTGGCCTTGCCTCGGTGTGCCTCTGCTCGCGCTGCCGGAGTGCGGCTGTGCCGGGAGGACGCTCTCTGCAGAAGAGGTTGGTTGGGGTTCGGGTCTGCATGGTGGTTTCTGCACTGGCTTTGATTTTGCTTGTAACAGCTCCCGAAACGAAATAAGCTGTGGCACCAAGAAAATCCTCTTGGCCGTAGTGTATCTGGGATTTTAAAACACCCTCAAGGGCTTTGCAGGTGTCTTGTCCCAAATTTTGCATGGCACAGCCACAGTGGCAGAGCCTGGATGTGCAGGATTGTCTAAATGGCTGGGGCAAGAGCAGACAGGCGAGAGTGTGAGCAGCACAGGGATGCCCACATGCCTCTTTGCAATGGCAGTACACAGAAATTCCTTCCCTTGGCCTATTGGCAACACAATTGAGAGGCTCAAACCTGAGGCTGGAAGGTTTCCAAGCAGAGATGTCAGCAGCTCGCACCAAAAGTCTTCTAACCCAACAGATTGTCTTTCCGTGGCTTTCAGTTGTCCTTGCTTAGACATAAGGTAAGGATCTAGGACCTGGATCTAGCAATGTTCTTTAAAGTTAGCCTCAGCGAAGCTTGGGAGAGCTGAGCAAAGTGGCCAGAGTCCTTAGGAACGTTCACTGGGGACTCTGCATGGAGGTTATTCTTGCAAATACTGCACCATGTTTGTCTGCAGTGTGTGTTTGCTGGGTGCCAGGTACCTCACTGAGAAAACCACTGAGCCTTTGGAGAGCTTATATTCACCTAAAATTAAATGCAACGTCACTTTTACTACAAAAACACCCCTGAGGGCTGGGTAGGACTAAGCAGTAGTGTCTGTCCCATGCTGCCAAATTGGATCTTAAGAGGTGGGAGAAAACTCTCTTCTCTCCTGTGCAACCCTGTCCTCCCCTAGGAAGTCTCCACAGGCTGGAAACCCCCCAAAAGGCTAGAAACAAATAGTGCCCCTGGATTTCTGAAGTGACTTCTCTTGGCATGAGTGTGAGTCCCCATCCCATCCCTGCCCCTTCCCTGTGCACCAGCTGCTGTAATCTGCATGGGGGATGAGCGTTTTTCCTCTTTGGGTTTGCTTCCTTGCCTTTAAACAAGGCTTTTCTTAGGGATCAGAGGTTAATTTCTCTGGTGCACAGCTCGGCTCCCAAAGCCCTGGGCACAGTCAGGTGAAGAGCATGTTCACACTATCAAGAATGGGAGGAGGGAAAGGAGGTGCTCCAGCATTTGGCAGCCCTGATTTATGGTGCAGGCTCATAGGACACTGCCATCATACTGAAACGGTGCCAGCAACCTGAATCTGGTAGAGAAGGAGGTGATGAAGAGAAGGAGCTTGTGGATGCTGATCCCTCTCTCCCAGTAGGACAGCCAGGGAGAGTCTGTAGACTGTGTTACCCTCTGCCATGGCAGTGGCAGTGTTAAGGGGGAGATGGTTGCAGAAATTCCCAGGTGCTCGCGGTCTCTGGGTCTCCCTGCACTCTTTTCCTTGCTGCTATGCAGAGAAACTCCTGCAGCCAGAACGGCAGTGCAGTCATACTGTGGGGAAAGCTTCTACACTCCTCTGCATCCCCATGCCCTCTGGGTTTTAAAACCTGTTTTTCAAGCTTTACATTTCTGCTCTGAAGATACACCTGTCCCGCCTGATGCCAGTGGGAAGGAGCACCTGACGTAATTATGGCAGGCTTGGGAAGGGAGGTGAGTGGCCTGGGAGCATTCATCAGATAAGAAGCTAAACAAGCTCTGTGCTCAAGATTTTCTCAAGCTTGCTCAGGAGACCTGTGTGTACTTCTGTGTGCAGGATTATAACAGGCAGGGGAGCGTGAGGGAGGGTAGAATCTGACCGTGCCAAGATACTGTGCACTGCTGGTGTCAGGGGCTGCTGTCAAAGCCAGGCAGAGCTTGTGGTGTGATCAGTGGTCATGCATGTTCCTGCAGGGACAGTGAGTGGTGCAGTGCACCCCAGTGATGGCTTTGCCTGCTCATCTGGTGGAGGGGGAGACCATGACATGTGTCTCATCCCCGTGGGACAGTTGTTTTGCTGGAAGTGGGCCAGCAGCTGAGACCATACCAAGCTCTGGTCATGGTCAGTGCCTTGGTGACCCTGTCTCCTCTTTGGCATGACTTCATGGAGAGGAAAACATCTCTTTCTCTTCCAAGATATGTTTCTAGACTTTCTTCCCCAAACCTTTGGTTTCGTGCTGTCAAGGGACTCCTTTGGTTCTCAACCATCTCCAAGAAAGGAGATTAAGAGTAAAGGTGGGCTACACTGGGGGACTGTGCACGGCACAGAGCCCTGATCAGACTGTGCTGCAGACTGCCATGACTCCTGTAGGATGGCTGGCTCCACTTCTCTGCTATTTGGCTCTTCCTCTGAGGTTTTCTAGACCTAGCTGGACAAGATAATCTAGGCTGGTGTGCAGGAGGCTTCTTTCCTTGTTTTGCCCAGGGCTTCTGTAGGGTTGGTTTTGCTGCTTTGGATCTTCATTTTCCTTAGGTGATGGGCATTGTTTGCATGGTGTTGTGGAAGGATCAGTATTTTAGAAGACAGGTGAAGTGCTAGCCCAGGCTGGGTTCAGAGGAGAACGTGGAGGTGCTCACTGGAAGCTGATCCAGTACATAGAGTCTCCTGTTGTAAACAGGGAGCAGTAACAGGACAGAAGTGCAGGGGCTGTGTGCATTAAGCCCAAACTTAAGAGACTCCAAGGAACCTATCTGGGGCTGGAAACCCTTCTTTGATTTTCTCTTTTCTTTGCACTTCTCTTATGCCTTTTTCCATGTTGTTTTTAGTGTGTGGAAAGCGCTTGTGGTTCCCTGATGGTGCATATATGTCTTGTCTGCCTTTACTGTATTTTCTTTAAAGAAAGCCTTTTCTTGGGTCAGAGACCTTGTGTTCTTCAGGAATTTCTCCAGAATCCTTCAAGGTCCTCCAGCAATTTGCAAAAGAGGCTCTCTGTGTAGGGTTTCTGAGTTGTGTGTAGGGTTTCTGAGCATGTTAAGTTATGGGGAGCATTATTTCTGAGTCCACTGATGACTGGGAACAACTCATTTGGCAACCAGAAGGGCAAGACAACCTGTTCTGATGTTGGTGCTCGTTCTCCTTTAAGGGAGAGAGGGGTTGGACCAGCTGAACCGCTGAGGTCCCTTTAAACCTAAATTATTGCGTGACTAGTCCATGAATACCCACCGCCCTGCTTCTCCCAGGCTTTTGTAGGATACCTGTTATTAGGCAGTGCTGGTGAGGGGACGTGAATGAGGTGGACCACTGCTTTGATCCTGCATGGAGGTTCCAGTGACAGCATGACCCTGGCATCCTGTCCCCCACCACGTCCTCCAGCCCTGCTCATGATGCAGTGCGTCTTTCCGGTCCGTCTCTGCCAGCCCACATTACTCATCCGGCACGGAGGTGCGCAGTGTGCCTGCATCCCGGCTTTTCAGCTCGCCTCTTTTCAGCTTTTTAATAGGGGATTTAGTTCTCTGAGGAGCTCTGCTGTCTGCAGCTAACACATGGTAATTCAGCTGATGCAGCAGAAGCTCGGGGAGAAATTTCAGTCTATTAGGGCATTGCAGGTTTTTTGCATCGAGTAAGTCAAGCCCTTTACGCATGTTAAACCTGTGCCTGCGTGAATCACACGTCTCCCATTGAAATCCAGACCCTGCAGACAAAGAGGGTCCCTCCGTCTCTGGGGCACGCTGCTGAAAAGAAGCAACCAAGAAGTGTCTACAACATCTGATTGTTTTTGCCTTGCCTCTAACAACCCTCATTTCCAAGCTAGCGATGGCAGCCTGGTCCTCCTCGAGCCGTGGCTTGAGTGGAGTTATTCATCCATCTTCATGTGCCTTGGCCGGCCGCCCTGCATGGGGAGCGCACGGGTGCAGCCGCGGCCTCGCTTGCCACTTGAGGCTGCTGAGTGTAGGGCTGGTGCAGAGTGGGTGCCAGCACTGCTGACTGGAGCTAGCCCTTGAAAAGCCACGTTAACCGCTTTGCTGCTGTTTGGGACCTTGCAGAGATGTCCCCAGTGGCTGTACTGGCTCAGCAGGGCTGACACCCAGAAGCCAAGCAAGCCTGGACCTGTCCTGTACACCTTAGCTGCTGCTCACATCAGGTCAGGTCTTCTGGTGGAAAGTCAGAAGGATGTAGCAGGGCAGGAAGGTGACCCAGAGGGGTGAGCTTCCAGCCAAAACTGAGCCAGGGCCCTCTGAATTGCTCTGTGGGGTGGTGAAGAGACAAAATGCCTCCCACACATCGAGGGAAGTTGACTGCTGCAAAAAAACCCAAATGCAAATCTCTGACTGGGCAGAATCTCCCCAGACACATCCTTTTGTAAAGCACTCTCATTGTACCATTAAAAATAGATCGACGCATTCTCCGCTTGCTTGCTGAATGCTGATGCCTGTTAATTCTGTGTCATCCTCACAATCCCTTCTGCTTTGAGCTTGGCTGCCTCTTTGTCTGGCACCTGAGCAAGGTTCATTCAGCAGTACCTGATAAGAGTGAGCTCTGTTGGAGTCCAGCAGGACAGGTGGGAGGGTGGGGGTGACTGAACTGGTCTTAGCTGGGGGTCAGGCAGCCCAAAAGGAGCAAGGTTTGGTGTGATCACCCCAGCTGTCACTTGCAGGCTCAGAAGCAGGGCTGAGTGAGACCTGCTGGCGTGGAGATGAGTTGGAGGATGTTTAATCTCTGGGTGGATGTCATGATATATCTCTGTGGGTTTTTTGAAACTGAGGTTAAAGTGCATGTATATGTCATGCTTAACACCTGCCTGGAGTTGGTGAGGGGAATATTCCTGTCTGTTTCCTCCAGCAAATGAGTCCTTGCCACCCACAGCAGCAGTGATAACAGGGATTCAGAGAGAAGACCCATGTTACAAAGTGCTGCAATACCCAGCTCTCTGTCAGGAGGCCAGGCTGCAGCATTTCATACATGAAGAGCTGTGGCCTCTGACCAGCAAGCCATGGCTCAGCACCGTGGTGAGGATAGAGGAAGACCTGCAAATCACTTTGTTTCAGCCCTGTGTCACCTCAGATTAAGAACAAAACCAGCTGGTCATGAATCATGGTTCCTAAGGGAAAAGGAGAAGAGCAAGGCAGGAACATCAGCTTGGGCTTTGCCTGTCTTGTGTGTTTTTTATTAGAGAAAGGTAATCCTCCAAATCTCAGAGCTGGTACCTTCTTGTTAGGGCTGTGGTAGGAAGTAGAACCTGAGCTGACACATGCTAATTCATCCCAAACCCGTGAGCAATTTGGCTATTGTGTGCATATAGAAAATACAGCAAGCCATGAACCAGGTCAGAAAACTTGTGAAATATGTTTGCTGACCTGGGGAATGTCTCATCAGAGAGAAAACCAACTGAGCCCCTTCCTTTTTCATTAAATTCTGGATCTTCTAGGGAGATTCACAGATTTGTGGGAATAGGGAGGCATAACTGTGGGCATTGGCTTTTTCTGGCTGCAAACCTGTGCTGGGATCTGCACCTCAGTTTGCACTGGTACTCACCAGAAACTGCAGACAGCCTATCAGAAAGGAACATCATTATTCTTCAGGGAGGCAGGGCTCCTATTTGTCATTTGAATATGGGGCTCTAATGACAGTGCACTGGCATTAGCCACTGTCATTAGTCACTGCACAGGGCATTGACTGCCCCTGTGTGTGGCGGGTGCTCGCTTTGGCCTCACCTATGGCTGTCCCCAGCACTTTGCTGAGATGGACAAGTTCCTGTCACTGGGGATTGTGCTTAAGAAGTGAAATGCTATATTTATCTGCAGCTTTGAAGAACCACAGCTTAATCCTGTGCTTTCTTTCACTTGGTGTGTAGGTGTTGTGGGAAAATAGGACCCAGATCCTGGAGACCGTTTCTCCAGGAGACTGCAAATGCACCCAGCAGGTATTTATGGTGTTTGCTGTCCTGGGACAAGAGAGACAGACCAGCCCTGCAGAACTATCTCACTGCATGCCTTTCTGGGCTGCCTCTGCCTGCTGTTGTTGTAAAAAGGCAAAGAAGCACCTTATCCCCAGGATAAACCTACTGGGCTCAGGGGTCGTGCAGCACATGATGGGATACCAGGCAGTGGGCAGCAAGGGCCCTTGAAGATCAGCAGGACCAGGTTTCTCTTCTCCATCATGACATGTCCTCTGTGATGTGTGCCACGCTGCTCAAAGCAGAAGGTGCTTTTAGGTCTGGGATGAGAACGTGGCCAGCTCTCTGCTTGGCAGGGTGAGAATGGAAATGGGATAGCTTTGGTATTAGAAAGCAGCGTGCTTGGGAGAAATATCCTCAGCATGGGCAAAGGCAGTGATGAAATGGCTGGCTGGTCATGTATAACCTTTGGTCTTGGCTTTTGTGGGCTTTAAAATGAAAGCTTGTGTTTATACTAAAGGGGAAAACCATATAAATCATGTTAAAAGCACAAGTCTAAGAGGAGGAGATACTGCCCTTGTCATCTAGACTCCAGCCAAATTCCTTTCCCTGTTGTCCCCGTTGGTTTTCCTGACTGGATCTCCAGACTGACTACCATGACTGCAGTCAGAAATTTTTCTGGGAGTGGCCGGTCTATAAATCCTTAACTGCACTTTTTTGGTGGAAACAGGCTGGGAGGCAATTGCATTTGCAGTCATAACCCATCCAAAGATGCTGGCACGACATCAGGTGGTGAGGGAGGATGAAGGACCCCTTTCCTTGGCTTAACTGCAGCCAGGA